GACTAATTATAAAAAATTCCGTCAAAATATCATCCATTCACACAAGCCAATACAACCAGTACAGTCCCAGTAAACAACACCTCAACCTACAGAGAGAGGCTACCACTTTATACATGTTCATGTGCTACTAATTACCACTCCCTTCGCTTAGCCACAGACATCAATCATGGGGCGACAATTAGCGAGAGAAGTCTCCATTTAGTGCCTGGAGACTCTTTAGCTTTAAACTGGGAGACATCAAAAGGTCTAGCACCTTTAGTAAGGACTCACTGAGGAGTCCTCAGGTATGCTAATAGCTGGAAATTGGTGGCAGGCCGATGGGTCACATGATCGAGACGTACATGTAAATGTGTACATGTACATGTAATAGTAACGGAGTCTAGTAGTGATTAGTACATCTCTACATGTACTAATGGATAAGCAATTACATAAAGAACTTGCTGTAATAATAATATGATATGCTTTCTTAAAGGACCAATTTCTACTTGGCTATACTTCCCTATGTACTACACCTCCTATTGTTATAAGTATCTCTTTCCTTACTTTGCAGCGATTGTCTCTTAGCCATGTTTCCTGTATGTGGCTCCTCTGGTGGTCAGGTAGGCCAGCATGATATATCACTGAGGCTATACCAGCAGAGTTTAGATCAGAACAAACTGTCTCACAGTCTCTCCTGTAACAAGAGGAAGGAGAGAGAGAGAAAGTTAAAAAGTAGAAGAAACACAACATAAAAAGGAGAGGAGAAAAAAATATTCATTGATAGTAAGAACAATTTTGCTGTTTGAAGTGTGGAATACTTTACCTTGAGAAACAGTAAACTATTCCAGTTTCTCCCTTAAAGTTGTTATTAATGAGTGTGATGATGTCCTCTGTCACTTTCTTTGGCTTCTTGTGTCTCACGGAATAAGCTAAATTAGTTCTGTTGAAGCTTTGGGTGAACCTGAGGAGAAAGGAATATGTACATTATACATGTATTAGGGGAAAATGGAGAATTCTTTCCTTTTCATTTTTGGTGAAATTTGGCAAAAATCACTGTACTATAGTACAGGGACTTTTATCTAATTTTGGAGCAACTTTAAAAATTTGTAAAAAATCCAATTTTGATTGGAATCAGCTCAAACATTCTACACAACATAAGACCATGTATATGTATCAGGAAAAATTATTACAATGAAAAATTCTCAAATTTTCATTTTCCTTGTACTGTAATACAGGGACTTTATGCATTGAAAGTTTTAATTATAAAAGAATTATCAATCCCAATGAATGATGACATACCATTTAGTATGAGACAGTTTCAACTGGTAGAGTATATCAGCTCTAACTCGCGGAGTAGCAGTGGCAGTGAGAGCCATTGTAGGTACCTGAGGAAACTGCTGCCGTAGCTCTGAAAGTCTCTTATAGTCCGGCCTGAAGTCATGACCCCACTGACTGATGCAGTGAGCCTCGTCTATAACAAACCGTGAGATCTTACCACGAGAATAAAGAGACTGGAGGGTCTTTAGCAATTTAGTACTAGCAGCCAGCTAATGGAGGAGAGAGAGAGAGAGAGAGAGAGAGTGTGTGTGAAGGATTGTAACACATACCATATAATGGGAAATTTTAGAGGGACTTAAATTTGGTAAATTGCTAAATTTCGGTGATTAGAGAATTTTAATTTGGCAAATTTGTGGCCATGTGCCATTGAGCATGCGTATAATGGCTCAAAACGACAAATTTTATTTTGGTGAATGGCTATCAAAACAACAAATTTGCCAAATTTAACTTCCTCCAAAATTTCCCACTATACAGACGGTACTAAGCTGGTTTCATAATTACTGGTTATAATGTACAATGTACATGTACATGTATACATGTATTTACTTTCTCTGGTGTGACGTAGAGTAGTTTTATTCCAGGGTCAAGTCGAGACAGCTCAGTATAAACTCTCAACTCCTCCGACTGTGAATACTCACCAGATAAATGACAAGCAGAAATCTACACAACAAGAAAAAAAATAATAATTAATAATAATAATAATAAACTTTAAATACATGTACCATACACATGTACATGTATAATAAAGACTACTAAATGTACTAATATCTATGCATATTGTATTTCTACATGTACATGTATAAAACATCAAAATAAAGTTAAACTAATTCCTTCTCTTCCTTTACTTCTAAGCTGTTCAGTTTCTGCACTTGATCCTGTATCAGTGACCTCAGTGGTGAGACTACAATAGTGACTCCATCCAGTAGCAGTGCTGGTAGCTGATAGCAGAGGCTCTTACCTCCTCCAGTAGGCATCAATATGAAACAGTTCTTACCAAGTACAGCTGCATTGATCGCCTCAAGTTGATTCGGGCGAAACTCCTGGAGACCAAACTTCTCCCGAAATACCTTCCTTAGGAGAGGAGCATGATCGTAAGAGCCACGAAACTCGGCTGAATTATCCGGAACCGTCTCAGAACCTTTAGAGGGTTTTATGAGACTAGAACTTACTGTAGGTTGACGCCGGGCATTAAATGGAGTAGGAGGTGGTACATTAAATGTAGATGTTGATGGGGCATTAAATGAAAAATTAGCCTGGGCTTTAAATGGAGTAGTTTGGGCATTAAATGGAGTAGAGTGGGTATTAAATGGAGTAGACGAGGCATTAAATGGAGGTTTAAATGAAGTGGAGGTACTTGGTGATTCAAAGTTGAGATGACGATTATAAGATGAAGGAGTAACTGATGTAGTGTTTGAAGTGGGCGGGTCAGGATATGGTGAATCAGTTAAATCAATACAAACCTCCTCCTCCTCCTCCTCCTCTTGTATCATCTCAACAGGATCCTCTTCTGGTATCATGTCCATTGGAATATCATCAAACTCCTCCCAATCATCCACTGGATCCACCTCTTGAGTGGGCGGGAAAACGAGTGACTCTGCCCCTGACGTGTGATAAGTGGGTGTGGCTACAGACCATGAGGTATTAGTAATGGGTGGGGCTAGTGATTGATTGGTGGGTGGAGCTGAATCAGCTGATTGTGGTGTAGTAACATTAAGATAAGATGATGATGATATGTTTTTGTTTAATTCCTTTTCTTGAGCTAATAATTTCTTCCTAAGAAAACAAAATAACAATACATGTACATGTACATGACTACATGTAGTATAGCCTCTCTTAATGGACACTCTCTATAGCGTACACCTCCATTTAACGGACAGCACCTAGTGTACCAATTACTACCTCCACATAAAGGACACCTTTTCTTGTCCTACAATGTCTTTCATATACAGGTAGAGACTTCACTGACTACAGTACATGTACATGTACATGTATGTATGCTAATCAGTTACAGTGGACATACATGTACATGTACATGTAGTTACAGTTACACGTACCTCATTGCCAGTTTCTTCTTGAGGTAACAGGCTGAGAGTCCAAACAGTTCTGTCATTCTAGTTGATGGTATGTCACTCAATATATCACAGATCTCATCCATCACCTTCAGCCTCTTCAACTGTAACTCACTCAGAGACGAGGGCACCTGATATTATAATAAATATTAAATTATTATGAATTATGATGTTTAATAATAATTAAACCTATAAACTATAGAGAGGAGTATCAGCTAAAACAACTGCTTTTAAATGTCAATTTTGTAGCCACACACACACACACACACATGCATACAAAATGAAGCAAAATTGACATTAAAGCATTGCCAATATTTCTTTAAATGCAACTAACGACCAGTTACCTGTATATGTGGGTGTGGTGAAGGAGGTGTGGTCTGATGGAATGATGGAGGAGGAGGGGGAGACTGTGGTGGTGCTGGTGATAAATATGAAGAGAATCCTAAAATTCACATTATTTATAAATCATCTTTTATTAAAATAATGCAGTACTTGCTAGTGGTTTAGGAGTTGATGATTGAAGAGGAGGAGTAGTATTCTGTACTGCATTATGAGCACCTGTACCTATTAATAGTAACAATTAATTCACAATCTATTAATAGTAACATAATCTATTAATAGTAACATAATCTATTAAAAGTGACATAATCTATTAATAGTAACATGAGAATGTCACAATCTATTAATAGTAACATATTACATGATGTAAATAACACCCATACAATATCTATTAATAGTAACAAATAGTAACATTATTAATAGTAACCCACTTGATGAAGCTGTATTAAAGTTGATGGGAGGGACTGTGGCTTGACGAGAGAGAACAGTTGATGATTTAGGAGGAGGAGAAGTGAGAGCAGTAGAGGAGAGAGGAGTAATGGCCGCCACTGGTTTAGAAGGAGGAGGCTTCATTGAGGTTGATGCTGACTAGAATGAAATGAAATTTAATAAGCTACAGCTTACATGTTTCTATGTTATACATACAGTGTTTGGATTAATGAGCTTTATTGAGAGTGGTGCCCTGTAGAATAAAAACAAAAATTTATTAATGTAAGCCACGCCTCTTTAAGGGAGGGGATTAAACTAGTTTTTAAAATGCATGTCCATAAAATGCTCACTTGATGTTTCTGGGTCTTTGCTGGCTTGAAAGTGGTTTCTCTGACTGCTTGAGTCCCTCCATGTAGCGGGCCATGTGTTCCTGAAGATTGTTACGGATTTCATTGTTGAACGCCATTTTATTTTCTTAGCCATGCCCAAGAGTATACGGAAACCACGTGTTGTCATCAATATTGTAATAAAAATTTTGAGTTATTTTGGAGCCATTTTCAGAAAAGACCATTATGCTATAGCCTTGGGTATTTTTCAGATTTTTAGCATTTCTAAAAATGGCTGTAACTTGAAAAAATGAAGTCGGAATTAGCTCAAAATTTCTACATTAGCATAAGGATATCAGAAAATGGCAAAAAATTAAGGTAATTTCGGAGCCATTTTTTTGAAAACAACCATGGAATTTAGTACATTTTTATTGCACAATTCTCTTGTCCCACAGAGAGTCATTGGCTCAGATCATTGAGGCTGGTAAAAGAGTTATAGTTGATCCTACACATCTTGCTGATTTGGAGCTGCACTGACCAGTGGAGAATCACATCAAATTCAAGCAGTTCTTGAATGTCCAGACATAATCACTTCAAGTCCACTGTGGCAGGAGAACTGGAATAAAATTGTTGACTTATTTAATTTTGATTTTATAAAATAACTTTAAAATTTATTAAAATGTCAAATAGAAAACTCAATGCTATTGTTTCATAATAAAAGTACATCAAAACACAATAACAACAACAACAACAACAACAATAATAATAACAAGACTATAAGAATGAAATTGATAATAATGTTAGAATAAAAAAATAAAAGGAGAAAAAAGGAAAGTAGAGAGAGAAGAAATGATAAAATATTTAGAACAATAATAATAATAATAATAATAATAATAATAATAATAATAATAACAAATTAAGTGTAAGTACAAAATAAAGGTACATGTGTACATGCTATAATAAAACAATTTATTAATTAAGGAAGAAAGGGAAGACTAACAAAAGAAAGCAAAGAGTAGCTCCAGTGATACATGTTAATGGAGAATATATTAAAGAAGAAGGATTGGTGATATTGGTAACCATTGGGGTGTACGTGTGGGTATATGGTGTAATGGTGGTAACTGGTAAGGTGGTTACGGTTACGATGGTAATATGGTGGTACAATGGTAATGGATATATTGCATGTCTTTGGTGTACATGGTAATGATAAGGTGACAATGGTGGTTAAATGTCAAACTTAGTATAAAGGTGTTAAGATTAATGGTGATACAAGTTAAGATATTACACAAGTATTGTATAGGTGATATTAGTAGCCATTGGTGTATGGTGTAATAGTACAATGGTGATACAATGGTATGTAAGGTGGTGGGATGGTGATAAGGTGGTGATAGGTGTAATGGTAAGATGGTATTTAAGATACAATATCGTATAGGATTGGTGATATTGGTAACCATTGTGGGTATATGGTGTAATGGTGATGATGGTACTAAAGTGGTGTAAGGTAGTTAGATGGTGGTAAGGTGGTAGGATAGGTATAATGGTGTAATGGTGATAGGTTACATATGGTGCTGTAGTAAGATGGTGTATTGGTAATATGGTGATAGGTTACATACAATGGACTGATAAGGTGGTAATATGGTGATAAGGTTGTGTTTAAGATACAATATCTTGTCCTGGTGGGTCAACCTGTTGTCCTTCAAGTTTCTCATAATATCCACTCACTTTGCTTTGTTCTGAAATAAATAAATCATAATGTATCTCTTGAAGATATTTAACTACTGATGAATCAGGATTAACTGATTGAGCTATTTCAATATCATGTGGATGAGGTTTTAAACTGAATACATCAACTAAAAACCGAACAAGCTCTAAATTAGAACTCTTACTTGCAAAATAAAGCATGGTTTTACAATCATCAGTTTCAGCTAGTGCATTACATTTGAGATCAGTTAGAAAGTATTGTACTAACTCCATACTACCAGCTTCACATGCTCCATGAACTGAAGTGTATCCATTATTATCAGGATCATCAGGAGTACAGGGGAAGGTCTCTATGAGATAACGTACCATACGAATATTATCAGAACAAGAAGCATAATGAAGAGGAGTACGACCAGACTTGTCTTTAGGTACTGGATTGGAGGTAATGTTTGGTTCCAAATACTGGTATATATCAATGCTTCTTTCTATTTCAAAGTCATTGAACATTCTCATGAAAGATAGCCCAGTACTCTTTCTCTTTGCTAGTAAGTGTAAGCAGGTGATGCCATCTTCATCTTCTGCTAAAGAATCCAGTCCATGTGTCTCAATTAGTGTTCTTACTATTCCAATATCTCCTCCCTCACATGCTGCATGAAGTAAACCACGTCCTCTATTATCCATTACATTAACACCTTGAGGATAAATACTGGATAAATAACGAAACACATCAATATGGCCATTACTGCAAGCTACATGTAATACAGTGGATCCTTCATTATCAGTAGCTGTAAGGAGATCATGATGAGTAGAACTACCAGTGACTGAGAACAGTAAAGCTTCAGTGGTATCCTTATGACCAGAGGCAGCTGCTAAGTGTAATGGTGTCTGTCCTTTCTTGTTAGTAATTAATAAGTTATTGTTAGACAGACTGGCTTTTAGTAATAGTGATACCATATTATGTTCTCCATCTTGACAGGCTACATGTAATGGTGTATTACCATCTTTATCTTGTTCATTAATAAGTACAGCATTATGTGGATTATTGTATATGTCATGAGGACTGTCTAATAAACACTTTATCTCACGTAACCAGACAACACTCATTGAGGGTATACTCTTACTCAGTAAATATTCTAATATTTCATATTTATTAGCTGCTACAGCAACATGTAGTGGTGTACGGTCTTGATGATTGGTTGCATTAGGATTACAATCAATGAGATACTTCAATATATTCAAGTGACCCCTCTCTACTGATATGTGAACTGCTCCAGACCCTTCATCATCAGTAGCTGATAGATTACACTGCTTACTAATAAGATATTTTATAACTTCTAACTGATTGAAGTACACTGCAATAAGGAATGGAGTACGACCATCTTTACTGTGAGGTAGTTCAAGTAATGATGGTATGTGTTCTATAATGTACTGGATCAAGTTCAATCTTCCATTACTACATGCTAAGTGAATAGGAGCCATTCCCTCATCATTCACAGCACACAGATCTAACTGATGATTCTCTACCAGATGTTTGAGCATAGGAAGAGAGTCACTGTACTCACAGGTAATGTGAAGAACTGTTGATCCATTAGAAGTCTTAGCTGCTACATTACACTGAGGAAGACTAGTGAGATAAAGTACAACAGGAACATGGCCTCCTTCACATGCTTCATGAAGAACTGTACTACCAGTATTAGTAGTA